TGTGTGTGTGTGTGTGTGTGTGTGTGTGTGTGTGTGTGTGTGGTGGAACCTGCACCACACCAACAGTGAGAGGCTCAAATATGGCTTGTCAGACTTGAAGCCTGCTGCCATCCATAAGAGAGCTCTTATATTTAGGGCCACAGAGGTTAAAACAGAGCTGTAGTAGGCATGATGTCCCATCCTGGCACCCGATCCAAATCACATTGTTAGTCATAACATCAACAAGCATGGTTCTGAGACATGACAGTCCATGGCCCTACACTACGACAAACACGTTGGGATTAATTACATCAAGACAAACACGTTAGAAGAAAATGTGCTCAGGGGGCGAATGTGAACAGGAGGCTGTCGAACTCTGGTGATGAATGCTACTGGAACGAGACTCGGGAAAACAAAGTGTGCTGTAAGACTGCGAGTTAATCAGTGTGATATGGATGAAGTATTATTTTTCTGAAGTGAGCAGCGACCTACTCTCGTTATACCTTAAAAGCCTACAAATCCAGCCGGGACATCAAGCTCAAAACAAGTCAAATGATTCTCACAGACGTCCCTGACAACTACACTTCAAACAGAAAAGGAATAGTTCAACATTTCGAAAATATGCACATGTACTGTAGAGGGTGAGATGAGAAGATAGATAAAACTTAGTAAAGTAAATAGAGATGTTCCGGTATCAGAATCGGAAATGCCTCTGATACTGCCGGGTCAGGTATCTGCAAGTACACAAATCTATGTATCTGATCAATGATTCCTGGAAATCACTTCTTCTTTACCGCTCCAAAACAGCAGTTGCTCTGTACCGTCACTGACAAGTGCTGTTTTTAGAGCGGAGAAGAAGTGATTTCCCTCTAAAAGCAAGTACAAATGGCAGTATGTACCGTTTGCAATGGGTGGCACCAATGTTGCCAATTACAACTGTAGCAATAGGCCATTCAACAATGCTAGCAATCATCCCTTCTATACAGTTAGTAGCATACAGCTGTTAAAATATGTTAAACGAGTCATTTCTTTTAATATCAGATGGTATCTGATTGGGACTAAGTATCGGCCGATATGCAAAGTCCAGGTATCCGAATCGGTACCAGGGAGAGAAAACTGGTATTGGAACATCTCTAACAGTTAATATGAAATTACAGCTTGCCGACAGTTAGGTTAGCTTAGCATTAAGACAACCAACAAGGGGAAACAAAAGCCTGGTTGTGTCCAAAGGTAACAAACACCAGCACCTCTGTGGTTTCATGGCAGGTTATGTGCACGGTCGTATAAATCTTCTCATCTAACTCTTAACAAAACAGCCAATAAGTGAACTTCCCTTAATGTCAACATTCACCTTTAAATGTGACTCACTCCTGCTGTTAGTAAGTCAGCTAAACTGCCCAGGCTTCAAACGTCACACATTAGTAAACACTGAAAGGCTTCTGCTTTCTGTTTAGAGCAAACTGATCTAATGTGACATGAAAATTACTGAGTAAACCTTCACTTCTATAGATGTTTCCCTGAAGGCTGAGAAACATCCACAGGACCGTAGATATCTTCACCGATCAGTCTCCATTTCAACCACACCATCATTTCTTATTCAGAATAAGCTGGAAATGGGTAAAAAAAAAAAAAAAAGCAACACAGGGAAATCAAAAATATTCACTTCAAGTTGCCGCTTCAGTTCTGTGGACAGGAACTATAACTACAGAACAGCCAGGAAATGAAATGGAGGCTGGCCGTTCTGCAATCTTCATGACCGACACCAAGGGGAAAGAAGGTGGACCCTCAAACCACACAAAAAGAGGGGGTTAGTGCTAGCTGGATAGCAACTTGGGAAATGCCCTGGCAGTCACATGAATGTCCATTAACAGAAGAGGAAGGGGCGGGGGCACATGCTCGACCCGAGTTTGTCCTATGGAGAGAGAACTAGTCGAGCTGTGGAGGTATTCTTCATTCTTACATTTGCAAAAAAAAGAAATAGAACACATAATATTGATAAGTCTCCTCCACCTGGAGCTGTCCAAGTTTTCAGGATGTCCACTTCTTTAAGCACTGCCCCACGCTAACGCAGTCACACTCGCATTTTTCAGGTGTCACAGGTCCATGGAGATATGAATAAACACTCAACACGTGCGTCTCAGGATTCATACATTCACTAACATGTCACACTTAAACATGACATCTGTGAGCCTTTTTGGACAAAGCACATAGTTCTTCCTTCTTAATTCAAGAGTAAACACATTTTAAAGCTGCAATCAGTTATTCCCCCCACCCCATGTTAAAAAACTGTTTCATCTGAGTTCTTGTTTTAAGCATGTTCTCGACACTCCACTGTTCAGATAGATACAGCTAATGATAGATAAAATTAAAAAAAACGCCCTCACCTTTAAAACAGGAAACAGAAGATAGGTTTTGTTGAAATATAACCTTAAGGTGTGCTGCTTCAAAGACACACAGATGTGGCAAAAATCACACATCCTTTTTAGGTCTACATGATGACATCCTCTTTCTCACTCTCACACAAAGTTTCATTCACACAAACGCAGAGAGGCTGTTGTTCATTTCTCAGGCATGCTGTGCAGCGAGGTCCTGGTTGATGAAGCGCCGTAGCCTCTCCAGGTACTGACTGTAAAGCTCAATGTCGTTGTGACCGGCTCCCTCCACCCAGAGGGGCTCCACTGCCTTGGGACAACGCTCGAACAGGGCGAGGCCATGAGAGAAGTCGATGACCTCGTCCTCTGTACCGTGGATGATGAGCACTGGAGACGGGATCTTTGACACTTTCTCAATGCTGGGGGAAAAATTCAAATAACGGAGATCATTAATGCACAACTTTACAGAATTCAGGCATCAGATTCAATTTTCCTACAACAAAAAACACAATGACAGTGTGGATTTCAGTGAGATGCATTAGAGTGACACTGGACCTAAAATCTGAATGCAAATGCATCCTGGGCCACGTATGAAGGACCGATTACTCAGCTGACGTGTCTGACCTGCTTCAAAAGGAATTCAACACATTTTTTACTCTTCTCAATGACCATACATGGCTTTGTTTGTGGCCACCCCACAGTATTAATGATACTGATCAACACATAATCATTGATACTTTTCTTAAATTTGTAAAATATTTTCTCACAGCACAGCAGCTCTGTTTACACTGAGATGGGAAGTTCTGTTTTGACTTATCCAGTGAATGCAACACCTGACAAATCAAAGCATTTCATCAGATGTGCAGCAAAGCCCAGAGAAGGGTAGCTGTTGCCATGGTAACAACTAACAGGGATCCAAAAAGATTCTTGTAAACAAATGTCTGCCTTAATACAGTTCTGCTCAATGGTACGGATATAACCAGATATTGAGGGGGTAAATAACATGATGTAGTTGGCATGGAAAGATGGTGGACATTGTTCAGGTGCCACAGTGTATCATAACATCACCCACAATTGAAAGTGACTTAAACAGTTCTGGAATAGGTGGAAAGAGAGCCAGATGCATTGCACTGAAACCCTTCAACAACATTTAGAAATCAAGCAGCTGCTGAGTATTTAGGAATATAACATTCTGGCTTTGGTTCAAATTGGGCACCAGCAGAGCAGCTGATTATACCACAGTGGTGGTTTGACAAGTTTTAATGGACATTTTCATACTTTTTTCCCCACGGAGCGTATTGTCAGCATTTGAGTTTCCTGGAAAAAGCTTGTGAGTATTATTTACTAAAAATAATCTAATGTTACTTTATTTCCTTAATATCATTGACAGCACAAAGGAACTTACTTAGGGAAAGCATCGAAGCAGTATGTTTTCTTAGTGTCGGGGAAAGCCACTCTCATACCAGACGTGAGAGGAGAGTGGAGGACCACAGCAGCACACTCGAAGCGTGATGCCAAGTCCACCGTGGGCACTGTACCTATACTCTGTCCGTACAGGATTATGTTCTCAGGGCTGATGCCATACCTGAGGCGCACACAAACAGAAACACAAACATTTACACACACAGATTAATATTCATCAGTATTAAGCCTGTCAGTCCAACAACTGGGAACAAAAGAGTTTCATAATAAAAATAAAATACAAAGATTAAAAAGAGAACTTCATAAACTCATTGCACACAATTTCATAAAGACTTTAAATAACGTTTTTGTAGACTTCATAAGAGATGAACCGTCAACACATTCTTTTGGTGTTAATTTTGAAACAATTTTCATCTTAATCTTAAATATATAATGCATCACTATCAGCTCTTTGTCCATGCTACAATACAGGCAGACAAGACGGAAAATAAATTATTCAACTTTATTACTGATTTGGTATTTTCTCCTCAACTAGCCTGTCACCTATCAGTTGAATCCTTGAAACGAACTGGGCACTTAAGGATTCTCCTTAACACTAAAATATACATTTTAACGTGCTTGCTTGGATGGAAAGAGAAAAACAAGGGGGTTTCTGCCAGCTTACCGGGAGCGGAGGGCATGCCAGGCGGCATCAATATCAGCATAGAGGTTCTTTTCAGACGGCTTGCCAGTGCTAACACCGTAGCCTGAGTAATCATAGGAGAAGATGTTGCAGTTGATGCGTGTGCCTAAGCCAATATAGAAGCTGCTCATCTGCCCCAGGTCTACTGCGTTACCATGGGAAAACAGCACTGTAAACCTGAGAGACAAAGAAGGAAGGGGTGAGAAGGAGGAGGGAAGCAGGCGGAGGTTAGGCAAGAACACTGGTGAACTGGAAAATCCTCAGCTGATGGGAATCATGGGATTTAACAGTATAATTGATAATAACGTGTCTGTAGAAAGGCAAGTTGACCTGTTTAAAACACAAGCAAATCAGTCATAGGTAGCATTGTGATTTGTGCGGAAGCACATTTAGTCTCAGTGTGTTCAGGGGGAGCGTCTCTCACCTGGCGTTGGGGGCACAGCGAATGTACATGCATCCAACCCTGTTCCCTCGACTGGACCTGGTCAGAAACACATCCGTCACATCCAGCTCTCTCTGCGTATACTGGAACTCGGCTCGCTCAGTGAGATGCAACTTCCACCTGCCTTCGACCCCACTACCTCCACCTCCAGTGCCGCTGCCGGCGGCGGCGCTACCACCACCACCACCTCCTCCTCCTCCACCACCACCACCTCCACCTCCACCTCCTCTGTCAGCTCCACTACTAGTGCCCAGCCGTGAACGCAGTCCTGGGGCTCCAAGAGATGGCAGAGCAGCTCCTGAGCTGGACCCAGACGCAGTTCCAGTCCCAGAAACTGGATCTGGGTCAGGGAGAAGGGCATAGGTGGGCTCTGGAGGGAGGAAAGCCAGTTTGGCTGCAATGCGACTGGGGCAAGGGGGGCAGCAGAACAGGCAGCATAGCTCTCGTATGGACAATCCGTTCATCTTCTGTTAAAAAAATAAATAAACATGATAGACGCATTAATTAGGTGGCAGAATAAGTGAGTAAGAAAAGGAATTCCCCAATATTTAACAGCAGGTTTCCCACTGTGTTTTCCCAATCCAGTCAGAAGAAATAACTGCATTTTAAGGAAATATTAAATTAGGATAGCTAATCTTAAGAGAAACATGCAGTGGCAGCATATCACACCGAATGCCACATATTTAAAGAATGAGGCAAATCTTCATTTAACAAAACTAGGGTCACATCCACGCTGGATGTTTTTGTCTCTGTCCAGACAAGCCTTTTATCTCTATATCAGTAATGTCCATGCGTACAAACACATCTTGAAAATCATGTCACATGACCATTTGCGAAAACTGGTCATGCTTTTATCTGTGTTAACAGGAAGCAGCTTGTGTTTTTGCAGTTGGTTGTATAGTGTTCAAACTAAAAACTGAGCCAGCAGCATTTCCAAAGTTCAGAGTTGTGTGGACGCCAGGCATAAATATAGCAAAAGTGATGCACTTTAAAACTAGAACATAACAGTGGATGTAGCCTAGGTTAAAACCAAGTAGCTGCTGGACTGTGTTTTGTCAATGAGGACAAGAGACATTCATCATCTTGTTCTATAGTCTAAGAAAAAAATGCATTTAGCATAATGCTGGCAATTTTTCACCCTTTATAGGTTTGTCCCTTGTTTGCACATAAGCTCAGTCGTATATTACACAGACTTTTTAGTTGGGAGCTGGCAGTGTGCAGTCTGATAAATGTCTCATTTGACTAGTTCCAACATTTGCTTTCACACATACAATACTTCAGGCTAACTTATAAGTTCAGGGTTATAGTGCATGTCTGAAATAAGCTTTTTTTGTCTGTAATACAGCCCACGCTTGAGTAACTCTGAGTATGCAGAGAAATTGGTGCCTCTCGCTGCAGGGAAATATTGTCTTCTAAGTGACTAGGCTTTGTCCAAAAGTCCCAAGAGGGGTCAGATAATAGAAACTGTTAGTTTGGGCCAAATTATTTAAAAAGATCAACAACCATTCGGGAAATCTTCAGGCAGTCATGCATCACACAGCCAACCAATCATTTAACTGGATAACTTGATTTACCTTCAACTCTATCACACACTTACATACATTCTGGATGTAGCACTAGACTATGGGCAGACCAGCCAAAAGAGATGAAAAGCATCAGGATCTCTGTATAACTCAACAGTTGACTAACTGATCAATCAAATCTTAAGTTCATTTTTCCAGTAATGTATCAGGAGACACAGTTTTACTAACCACCCCCTCACCCCTGACACCTGCTTCCTCACGGAAAAAACTGCACATAAATTCTGTAATGAACCTACCTGGATTCAGAAATCCCCGGGTCTTGGAATGAGCTGGCACACAATGGTGCCAAAGTCTTCAGGTGGAGTCACTGAGCCAGTTGGATCTTGACAAGAGAGAAAAGATTATACATTGAAATAACAACAACACGACAATGTAATAATCACATAAGCATGACCACTTAGCTGGCCTGATCTTTTAATGCTGTTCTTCTAAGAGCTTTAGTGTGTTGATATGAAGATGATACATATTAAGAAGCATATGCTATTGTTCTTGCTTTCAACCATACAGCATCTGGGACAAAGACAAATTACACAGATATGGAGCAAAAGTAAAACAGTATCCTGGCATTGCAGCTGTGCAGCTTGATTCAAAGATTATACTCATACACACATTATACAAAGGGTTGTTATTATCATCCATGTACATCCTATAGGCAAATAGCGTTTGTCTTGGTAGTAGTTATACACATTATTCATGTACTGAAGCTAATACAATGTTACTGCGGTGTTAAAGGGATTCAGACGGCCTGATGTGACCATGGACACTGGTGACTAATTACAACACCCCCTCAACACATAAAGCGACTGATGTGCTAATGTAGCTACATGGATATTACATCGATATTAACCTCGACTGTTAGCCAGAGATGTTGGGCATATAATGGGAACATCAGCACGGTGACACAACACACGGACAAGCGGTGATGTGAATAATCGACATGTCGGTGCGGTTGAAACGCATCAGCCATCGTGCAGGTGAATGACAGCGAAGAGTCAAGATCTCATCTTCTTATCGTTCGCGAGCCATCCAGCTAGCGGCGGCGGCGGCTAGCTCGCTAGCACGTTAGCCTTCAAGCTAGCTACTTACCGATTCACAGGAGGTGGGCCGGCAGGCTGGTGTTGCTTCTTGTGTCAACAGAAGCAGCGCAACACTCAGAAGATCCTTCTTGGGTCTTGACATGGATGTTTTTACACGTGTGAGCTGACAGCTGTCGGTGGCTAGCTAACCCGAATTCATGGCAACCAGATTTTTTTTCTACTACAGTACGACCGCAGCCGGAAGTGACGTGGGCGCGTATTTTTTTCAGAATTTGAAAAATATGTTCAAGAGAAGATTTTATTTTCATCACATCTGAATATATATATATATATATTGTGCAAAGCAAAATGCACATATTCAATCCAACATGTGGAATTGGAATAAAAGTCAAATTAACTGTACATAACATAAACAAGGTGTTTCTGGTAATCTTCACTATGGTCTAAATATTTAAAAACCAGAATCAGTATAGTTGGACAAAATACTTTAGATTAAAAATATGTCAAATGTTAATACAACAGTGTTTAAAATCTCAGGTACATGTTAAGGTCCTGGTGTAAATGTACTTGTATCATGAGTGAATGTGCTCATAATGGAACATAATGGACCTTTGTTGGTGTATTATCAAACATTATACATTATAATATTGTATTACTGATGTAATAACATTAACAAAAATATATATTTTTTTAGTATTTTGATATCAAGATTTGAATTTACCAAAAGAGCGTGTGTGCATTTCTTTATCGTAAAAAATATTCTGTAAGATATTTAAAGGTACAGTGTGTAGAATTTTGTGATATCTATAGTGTTGAAATTGCATGTTGCAGCTGAACACCCCTCACCTCACCCTCACCTTCCAAACATGAAAAAGAAACTGTGGTAGCCTTTGCTTCTCATAAAAACTCAAAAGGTGTTTATTTTTTCCAGTCTGGACTCATGAAAAACATAGCAGCCTCTGTAGAGAGGGTCCCCTCGATGTAAATATAAAGGGCCTTTTCTGGGGTAAAGAAAACTACAATTCATACAATTTAGATTTAACGAAGTAGTGAAAACATCATGAGGATTATTCTACATTAAATTTCTGTCAATAGTTCCCTCTCACCTAAATCTTACACACTGGACCTTTAAGTGTTTTGCCAACTCAACTGTAGACAACTGTATTGTAAGAAGCAAATTTCTCCAATGAAGCTTCAAGTTTGAGTCTCTGTTACTTTCCTGAACATCATTAAACACGTATTTCAGTCATGTTTTATGGTTTAAGTGTGTGTGTGCGTGTGTGTGAGAGAGAGCGAGAGAAAGAGAGAGAGAGAAAGAGAGAGAGAGAGAGAGAGGTGGGGGAGCTCCATTCATCACTGATCCACTGCAGGACTGTGTTTCAGGGACTGGCTGTGAGTTATGGGCCCCTGCTGTCACTATGCCTGCTCTGCCTTGGACATTTCACCTCGCCACTGTAAATTCAAAAAGGGGGATTACATTTTGCTGACTCCTGATTTCGCAGCCGTAGCTTGACCAAGTGCAGACAGATGAGCGGCTCCTCTGGCAGAAGACTTCATTCAGTCCGCAACTGAGCTGCAGGAACTGGGGATTTTTGTGTGTGTGCAAGCTCCCATAAACAAGGCTGCCGGGGAGGAGAAAAACGCAATCTGGATCACAGCATCACCCGATAGGTTCCTCTTTATACATCTAACCCACGGACTTTTTCCTCTCAGCACACGCACACACACAATATACATTAAAAAAACGTTTGGTAGTTGACTGGGCGTTTTTGGACGCGCACGGTAAATCAGTGATGCTCCGGCGACGCGCAGCAGGGACCGGGAGGAGACAGGTGAGGTGCGGCTGAGGAGCTGCTGCTTCAGACAGGCTCCGGATACCGACACCCGAGGCACCCATCGCCCCGCTTTTCTCCACAGAGACGAAGACAGGCTACCGGAGAGGGCGAGTTGGCGACTGGCACCTGCCTCAGCCTCCCCATACCTGGCCATCTGGTGCGGTGAGTGTGCCAAGTGGTACGATTGAGAGACGGATCTATGTGAGCAGGGTGGGTGGTGGAGGGGATGAACAGGTATACAGCATGTGCGCAATTCTTTTTTATTACTGCCACCGTCACCAAACGCGATGCTGCATTGCTCCTCCGGGTCAGCCAGCAGTGTAGCTCTGTTCTGGGCATCGCCTGGACCTTTTGCGCACACGAACTGCTCTTTGTGTCTGCTGCAAGTTTCATGTTTTATTCCCGCATCACGTGCACATCTTTGTTGCACATCACTGCATATTGTGGTTCTGCTTTTCACGTGTTGCGTGGGGTCTCACAGTGCTTATTCCGATAGCTTTGGATTGATGCCTCAGCATAAAAAAAAAACAGAAAAATTACTTGCACATTATCACACTGCATTGCAAAGAGGAGCACAAAGCCTGAGAGTGAATCTGGATTTAGATCACGACCTGGTTCATAGGTCTGATGTAAATGAGTCTGATCGCTTTCAAATCCTGCATTTTATCGTTCCTGTGTGAATTGATAGCATGTCATGAAATGTTTGCTCAACATGTCCTGTTAACCAGGGGAAAGGTCAGCCGTGATGATGTGGAAGTCATAAATACTATTGATTATGTCATCAATCACTCACATAGTGACAGGGATGGCATGATATATGCACAGAGGTAAACAAAGCTCCAAAAGAACAAGAAATACATATTGACAGAATTGAGAAAACTACAGATTACTCAAATTAATGTTCTAAAATATATGGGCCTGCCTTTTGTCCAAATCCTTACTGTAACCTGCTTCCTAAATTGGCTGACATCATAGAGCACCATGGCTCAAGTGAAATGTTCACTTACTGCCATCCTAGCTCTTACTGAGGTGATTTAGTAGTTATGGGTAATTTATTGTTTACAACTTCATCCTTCACACTAAAAGCTATCGAGTTCCACAAAAGGACTATAACAGCTCCCAGCTGCTGTTTATGTTTATGTTTCTCTGTGAGTCGAGAGGTGAGAAGAAATGGATGATGGAGACACACACACAAAAAAAAATAAAAGGAGGCGAGGGAGAGTCAGAAACATAGACAAACCCAAAGGCAGATGTGAAGGATAAAGGGTGGCAGAGAGTAATGTGATATACAGGGGGATAAACAGAGGATGTAAACGACAGAAAAAGAAATGATGGAGCAGAAAGCGCAGAGTGAGTGAGTGTGGAGGGAGAGGGGCTGCAGACAGCAGTCTGAGCGGGTGTGAATGGTCTCCCTGTTATCCCTGCTGCCCACACAGACAGCCACACAGCAGCCGTGCGAGCAGGTGCTAACCCCGCCACGCAGCAACCGCAGGGAACAACAGGTGCAGCCACTGTTTCCCTCAGCCTCCCTCTTGGAAGGCAGTCTAACGCCCGCCCACCCCAAACATACAGCTACACCAAAAACCCTTTCAACACCAAAACACCCACAGCTCATACTGAAGGGAACCAAATGGGTACTTCAATCTACATTTAGAGGGGTAAAAAAGTGCATGCAAAGCCCAGGCTTGAGTAATTCAATTATAAAATTAATTATGCTGCAAACAAAGTTGGAAGCAGTTGAAGCAATAAGGCAGAGCAGGCTGCAGGTAAAAGCAATCTGAGAGAGGGCCTTGGGGTGAGACAACTGCCCACAGGGATACTTAATGAGCTCTATTGATCACATAGGACTGTATTCAATCACACATGCTAAGCCACAAGCAGAGCATTTCAAGCACGAAAAGGGGGAAAAAAATGGACCAGATTGCAGCATAATACAGCCGACCCACAAAGAGAGTAAATCAACAGCAGATTAGTGTGTTGGGGTTGCTAAGGAGCACGTTTCTAGCAATGTGTAAGAACGACAGTTAGAGATCTTGCCTGCATGTCTTTGTGAGTGTTTACTAGAGTGCGATGAAACAGACAGAAGATGTTGGAAGGAGTGAGATGTTACCCAACAGCTTCCTTGCTCCTTCCAAGAGAAGCAATCAGTGACAAATTGCCTCTCTTAAACCTCTGGTACACAGAGACGTGCATTATGACTCAAACAATGCTGGTTCCGAGCTGCCACTAATCCTGCCATTTTATATTTTCTAGTTTGCATCAGATAATGGGGATGACTTGATTCTCTGATTTCAAAACCCAGGATACTGTTTTGAAAATAGGGGTTACTGGTGATTTTAGAGGCTAGTAATTTAGAACCACTGAAGGAGACCCTGGTTTAGATCCAGAACTTGCTGGGCTAGGAACGCCTCAGTAGCCACCCGGAAGCGCTGAAAAGTGTGGCCAGGGAAAGGGATGTCTGGGAAAACCCACTTGGCAGACTAAAGCTCTGTGATTCTAGCCCAGATAAGCAGAAGACGTTGGATGGATGAATGGAAGTTATTTTTTAACCCATACTCACTGTAGATATCCATGTTATTGCTTAGTCTAAGAGACTAAACCAAACACTGCTCTGCTTATACAGTAGGCTACACCCCATACACTCTTATAGTGTGTAGATTAACTTTAATTAACTTCCAAAAAACACCCCTGTAGGCCCAGGATTTTGAAGAACTAGACAGGATTTCTTTGTAATCTCATAAAATAAACCTAAAGTTTTGACTATAGAGTCAAAATATTCAAAGGAATGCTTCTTTTCCACAAAGGCAGCCATTTACAGTGTCTTCTGATCCAGTTTTACACAGAGCCAAGTATTTCCTGTCTGTGAGGTCTGATCTGAGTCTTTAAATCAAAAACACTTAAAAGGGGGTGTTAGAGTGCAGAGACCCCAGGGCAATAAGATCAGAAGGACCTAGCTGGGCAGGCATCTGCTGGATGACCTACTCTAGTGGGGTCCTCATGAGCGTGGACCTTGGAGAGTCATTCTGCAGGATTAAGGGGGCCAGAGGGTCAGGAGTCACGCAGGAATACTTTCTTTACTTGTCAGAAAGAAGCTCTTATCCCAAGACAGGTATTTAAAATAAACACCCTCATGCAAACCATTCTTTGGGTTGATGTGAGAAGCTTTCAGGAGGCTGACTGGGCCTTTCGGAAAAATCCTTCCAGATGTTTGAGAAAGACAGAAACAGCATGATCAGTACCACACAAACTGACGAGCCTCACCTATTGCAGACCCTGCTGTAAATTGTCCATGGTGCCATAAACTGTATAAATGATTATCAGAAGGCCAAGGTGGCTGCACCATGTGGATTTGGTTGCTGTCTCAGCCACATATAGCTTGTATTAA